GTTTGTTTAAGTGAAAGCTAGTACAGAAAGCCTTAACAACTTTAAACTCCTCAACTACACTGCATCCTACTAGCCATCTCAGTGAAAAGATACTGAAGAATTTATTTTTGTTTCTTTTCAAATAGACAAGCACTTAAGTGTTTTACTGTTTCAAATTCATCTCATTGACAAATTTTATACAGACTCTTTCTTCAACTTCTCAGACAGAAATGGAAGATCTGTATTTTGTCTGGGGGTGGTCAATACTGTATTCAAAACTAAATAATCTCTGGGCCATAATGTCACTGGTCTGACTTGGCTGAACATTTCTATGTTTGGCACACTTCTTAACAAATTTGACTTACTGGTTCTTTAGATGTCAACATGTTCTTAAAATATTTATATGAAAATTCCTTTGGAATTGGTTAGTTCATAGGTGTATCTCTGCGGTTTCTCAAATTGACACTTGGATTCATCCCAACTGACCATAAGAATTTAACCAAGGCACCTAGGTTAGAAAGAGTCCCCTCTATGATCAGAGGAGACCATTTCAATTGTGTCATTGACCTGTTGATGACAGAAGCCACTGAGGTCCTGCAGGATCCAAAATAGCATACTTGAGATAAATGTTTGAAGTAACATGAGATGCATGAGATCCAATATCCTGAGTAGATGTGTGTAGGATATTTTGAAGAAAAGTTTCCCATAGAAAACAAAGATGGATATTAAAAAATAAATAAGCATTTATTAAGTTCAACTCAGTTTAGTCAAAACTCTTAACATATCTTAAAGATATCCAATTAAAAGGCTCAAACTTCATAGGAGTATTTAAATCTAGTATCTGAAATAATCTCCACTGTTTTAGTTCAAAAACATATAGATTATGCCAAAAATAAGCTTTTCATTGGTGCTTCAGTACTCTTTCCTCTGCCATTTTTTCTTCTTCCTGATTCATATGCTTTTTTTTTCTTTCATCTGTTAGGTATTTCTGGTGGTATGCCATGTACCTGAGTAGCTTGTATCAGATCACCCATCAAGATGATATATTTGTAAGACAATGATTCTGCATAAAGTTCAGATGTTCAGATAACTGGCATGTTGGAAAGGAAAAGAAGAAGGGGGAAAGAAGAAGGGGGAAAGAAGAAGGGGGAAAGAAGAAGGGGGAAAGAAGAAGGGGGAAAGAAGAAGGGGGAAAGAAGAAGGGGGAAAGAAGAAGGGGGAAAGGTGGACAGGTGAGCAGCTGTATGCATTTCAGCTTGAGAGGGGACTGCCACTCTCTCTGGTCACTAAAGCTATTTCCCCTTATGTCCAATGAAGTGGCATAACATCATATATCTTTTCAGTTTTTCCACTAGTCCCCCCTTTGAGACATCTCCAAGCATAATGAGTTTGAGAAACACTTCTTTAAATCTAAATCCACTGAAATGCAAAGCCATTGACAGCACCTATATAAAACTAATTACAACACTTGCCTGATCAGAGAAATGTGCTGTAGTGGCATGTCCTGGTTTCAGCTGGGACAGAGTTAGCTCTTCTTTTTAACAGCTAGAAAAGCTCCATGTTTTGGTTTTAGTCTTGGGCATTATCCCAAGAAGCAACCATGAAACTGTTCACCTCTCTCCAAACTTTCATGTGATCAAATAACCTGACTCCTGCACCAAATCACACCATCTAAGAACAGCTTTGGCTTCAGACTTGAATTAAAGCACATTATAATACAAATATAAGCCTCTTAAAAGACACAGAATATCAACAATTTTTCCTGAAAGCTCCAAAAAAGTTCAACAGGTTAGAAGTCAAAAAGAACATCTGCACATCCTGGGAGTGCAAATTATAAGCGTCTGCATGTGTGTGGACTTAGAAGAAAATTTTCAGTCCATTTATTCATGCTACTCCATCAACACACTGTTGTGTCCCAACTGACTGCTCTTTTCATTTGGCTGTTCCGTGAGGTATGTGTTTTTTTAGGGCTCATGCCAACTATTTTATTCTCTGTTCCAATATCTTCATGCTGAAGAAAAAAGTAATCTCTAAGATTTACATGCAAAATACGGATGTATTTCCCCATAGTTTAAAACTTGGCATAAAGGATATGGACTGTACCTGTGACAAGGTGCTAAAACAAATTAATGAGATGTAGAGATAAAGCTTAAAGTGTTCATTAGGGATTCCCATGTAATAGTTGGAATGTCCCTAGTAACATACACTACAGATTCCTGATCAATACAAGAAAGAAAGACTTGGGGTTGTTGGTTGATGAGAAGCTCAATATGAGCTGGCAATGTGCACTTGCAGCCCAGAAAGCCAATCATATCCTGGGCTGCATCCAAAGAAGAGTGGCCAGCAGGTCAAGGGAGGTGATTTTCCTCTTTTGCTCTGCTCTCATGAGACCCCACCTGGAGTACTGCGTTCAGCTCTGGGGTCCCCAGTGTAAAAAAGGACATGGACCTCTTGGACGGAGTCCAGAGGAGGGTCACAAAGATGATCCAAGGGCTGGAGCACCTCTGCTATGAAGACAGGCTGAGAGAGTTGCAGTTGTTCAGCCTGGAGAAGAGAACGCTCCAGGGAGACTTTCTAGCAGCCTTCCAGTACTTAAAGGGGGCCTACAAGAAAGCTGGAGAGGGACTTTTTACAAGGGTGTGTAGTGATAGGACAAAGGGTTATAGCTTTAAACTGAAAGAGGGTAGATTCCAATTAGAGATAAGGAAGAAGAGGGTGCTGAGGAACTGGAACAGGTTTCCCAGAAAAGCTGTGGATGACTGATCTCTGGAAGTGTTCAAGGCCAGGCTGGATGAGGCTTTGAGCAACCTTGTCTAGTGGAAGGTATCCCTGCTCATAGAAGGGGCATTGGAATTAGATGATCTTTAAGATCTAAAAAGAAAAACTAACTGTCCTAGTCAAAACCAGGACAAAGGTCCCTTCCAACACAAACCATCCTATGAAATAAGTAGCAGGGGAAAGAAATGAGAAAATAAAAGAAAGGGAAAAAGGAAAGGAAGAAAATTAAGGATAATTTATTTCAAATTTTACAAAGTCCTGTGCCCAAAGTTACGAGGTTTTGAGATCACCTGTACTACATAGACACATAAGCCAAGCAGAAATAAACCTTATCTTTCTCACAGCTACTTTGATTTAAATGTGGGGTAACATCACTGAATTTGGTGAAGTAATCAGAAGCTATACAAACGAAAGAAAAGGTTTCACTTGCATTCAGTAGAGCTCTCCATGTATAAAATACTCCATGACAGAGATCCAGTGACTGGTATAGAGAACTTTCTTGTGAGTACAGCCCTTTGGCATCACACTTTACTACACCATTATTTCAGCACTGACTAAATTTTGCCCTTCACTCCTAATCTGCAGGGCAGAATCTCGCTTATGTTACAATAATGATATCTGCACAAGGACACCAAAACGACTTTTTGTACCTGTGATACAATGAAAGAAAAATTTGTTAAAGTTTTTAGAGAATAATCTTAATTCAGAAAAAATATACCATTTTAATATTGTAGTCTGATAATGAAGAAGTCAATACATCAGGGATGAATGATGATTTGAATAACCTTGCTTTTAGTTTATAGGGCACTTGAAAATGACACAGATGGAATATTGCAGGAAAAGACAGGCAAGTTGATGAACTGAGAGAGACAAAAAAAAAAAGTCTACACCTGTAATAAAATATACACAATCATAACTTCAATTGCCAGGATGGATTATTGAGACCTACCTTTGAATTTGTATGCAAATACATTGCCTAATAACTAAGGATAGGTTTCTTAATAAGAAAGGCTTGAAGGGGCTTGAGTAGGATTTCAAGAAATAATCTCCTGCAACTTTTCCTCATTATCTTGAGATATCAACTATACTTACATTCAATTGAAATAATGGAGCTTATGTGCACAAATACCCCTATCAGATTTACCTGCACAGGCATAAATAGAAGACAAAGTCACGAACTGCAATGACCATAATGCAGAATAATGCCACACTGGGCTACATTCATTTAAATACCATTACACATTCCAAGTAATAATGTATGTATCAATTCTGAGATCCTAACATATAGAATTTACCCTGCATAGGACCAACCAGAAATACAATGTGTGAGCAATTCAGACAAAGAAATCACACAAAGTAAAAACATGGTTATTATGTGAGATTAATTTTCCCTTTTGGCCACTCATTTTCATTTATTTTACATTTACCAGTTAGAATCAGAAAAGGAAATTAAAACAATATATAAAGATATATGTAGTATGTCTGTGGTTCCCTACCTTCTTCCTTAACTAAGATGAAATTCATTACTTCTTTCTATATTTTCCAACTGGGACTACATAGCTTGCATTTTTAGATTTGTCTATTATCAGCTTTAAAATACAGTAAGAATTAGTCCATAAAGTTAAATATTTTTGGTTCCTTGGGACTAATCACATCTGGAAATATTTTTTGCATATCTAGCAAAACCAATCCAAAGTTATAAAGATACCTTCAAATTAACTGTGTGCTTTAAGCACATGCATGGCTTAGTATCACAAAGGTGTAGCCAACTTGTCAAAACCTTTTTGTAATACTCATCCATTTCAAGCCATGAAGATGCTGGGAAGGAGGTAGATGTCTTCAACAAAAAGCAGACACTTCGATATATAGAACTCACGCACACTGAAGCAGGACTGCTAGCTGCCCACCCACCGGCAGCCAGCGAAGTTAGGCCAAAACCGTTAATAATAATATTCCAGGCCATGAAACTTTGACATATGGCAATAGTCATCTTTTTTCTTTCCCAGAGAGGCGGCAATACTGAAATTTCCCTCACAGGAGGAAAACTATGCAAACTACGAAAATCTTCACCTCTCCCTCTGCAGTGATTAACAAATTGAAATGGAGATGAAGTTATACATGGTAGATTAGTTTCTTTCCCTTTAAAGATATTTGCCAGTAGCACTTTTCAAATCCTTAATCACTTGGAGAGATTAACAGCAAGCCTGGAATATGTGTGGAAACCCTATCTATCTGAAACGTACCATAATGCATGTAGCAGTTTCCTTTGGTAGGATCCAGCTGAATAGCCTTCACGAAGTACTTTTCTGCCTCACTCTTGCGTCCCTTAAAAATAAAAAAGGGTGGGAGGGGAAATTATTTTAACAGTGTGTCAACATGGAGTGATCATGTATAGTTACAATTTCCAAATTCCAGGCACAAGAGAAAAACAGCTACTATTATCACTAAACTTAACCTAAGTAAATATGAGTTTTTAAGTGTTACAGTAAGTTTTGTGGTCAGCTACTTTATGCTGCAGATCTTCAGGCTGAGGAAGAAAAGAGTCCAACATTCTCAATGTCCAAGAGTAAGCAAGTGGTAGAAATGTATTGCAAAAAACATTGTAAAGAGCTTTGGGGGCATATCAAGCTCCATGCTACATTTCTGGACAGGCATCAGGATAAGCATTACACAGACCCAAGCTAAAATCAGAAGGGAAGGTTAGGAGGGAGCTTTAGTCATGCTATTAAAAAAAAAAAAAATAAGACTGAGGAAAGGGGAAAGGAAAAAAACATGTTTTGGTTCTACGAAATCATAAAATCATAGAATATCTCAAGTTGGAAGGGAACCATAAGGATCATCAAGTCCAACTCTGCTCCTCGCAGGACTACCTAAAACTAAACCATATGACTAAGAAAGTTGTCCAGACACTCCTTGAACTCTGATGGGCTTGGTGCTGTCACCACTTTTCTGGGGAGCCTGTTCCAGTGACTGATCACCCTCTCACTGAAGATTCTTTTCCCAATGTCCAATCTGAACTTCCCCTGACGCAGCTTTATTCCATTTCCTCATGTCCTAAATAACACTTGACACACAGCCAGCAGTAAAGTCACCAGGAAAGAAGATATATAAATAGAAAATATTTTGGATTTTCATGTAGGAAGTTAAAAAAATAGAAAATACTTCTGATTTTAATGTGGGAAGTAAGATTTCATCAGAAGTCAATTCTGTCAACACAACTGAAATAGAAAAGGCAATATTTAAAGGTAATGGTCAATGGTATGACAAAATGACCAGAAAAAAAAACCCAAACAAACCAACAACAAAAATGATAGTAAAAAGAACAAACACATTCTAAACCACAGATTTTCTTATCACTGAAATCACCAAGCCACCAAAGTTGCATTATGGTACACAAAGCCCCAGAGCAGATCCATTAGCGGTCATTACTCTTTTCATGAAGAAAACAGAGATGCTGGATTAGCCTAGTCTGATATTGAAACACAAATCACCATCAGCTATTCAGTGAGATACTTGTGACCTGTTTATCCCTCTCCCCCTGAAATTAGTTGTGGTTCGTGTTATAAAATATAAAGCCACCAGAATAAAGAACAGTTAAGCTTAACCACTGTCAAAGAAAGGCATTGTGGTCTGCACCTCTCAAGGTTGCCTTGAGTTTTATTTCACAGATATAAGCATACAGGTTTTCTCAGCTTTTGTGGTCTGGAAACACACATTGTATACATCCTGCACTATCCTGCAAGTTAACATAGGCATAATAACGAAGTCTGTTCATGATTACAGCTGCTCCAGATTCTCAGAATTTCCCTCAAGAGCCTTAGAGACAATAAAATAAAGAGAGAGAAAGAAGTTGTGCTGCACACCAAGAACTATATCAAGACCAGGTTCCATCAAAACCAACATAGAGGCCATATTTCCAAGAGATCATCCTGGCAGAGATACAAAGAGGCTTATCATTTACAATATTCTAGTTTCGCAAAATGAACGTTCATTGGAGGTAAGAGTTTAGCCTTTTTATTTAGTAAACTTTATTTAGTAAACCCATATACCTTAAAACCATATCCACATGGCACAAGGCTCCAGTCAAACAAATGGTGCAGCTCACTGATAGAGTACACCATCTTATACTGCAGTGCCTCTCATTTCTGCTTGGTTGTGTTTGTTTTTTTTTAAAAAAAAAAAAGGCAAATGAAAACCTCCAAACAAAAAACCATATAACATGTAGATTAAATATAACTTCTTTTTTTTCTTTTAAATAGCATACAATCACAGTTGAGAACAAAAAATGAAAAAGAAGATAATCTCCAACTGAAAACACAACATAAATTTGGGCCAGTATAAAATAATTATTCAAATTAAAATAATGGGGGCAGAAGGAGAGAGGGTGATAGTTGAACATTAAATTTTGCACGTTTAACTCCAAGGTCGGCATTCTTAGTCTGGCAAAAGTTACCATGATGTGCGAGTCCAGCTTTGAGGCTTCAAAATGACAGGCATCAAGCAAATGTATTGTTAATACTGACAATTAACATCTACAGATTTTGCATCATTGCTTTTTTTAACAGACTAACATCATTCATTTTAGCTGTTTGTACTCTGTCTCTGTGTCTATTTCTCAAACATAAAAGGACAGTTCATTGAATAGTCACAAAAACCACAGATTCTGTCTACAGAACTATAAGGCCACTAAGAGTTGTCAAATATGATTAATTTCTATTTACTGGGATCACCAAAAATGCATGACTGCTGTACTCTTTTTGGCACTTCTCAAATGGCATATTGCATTCAAGTTCAGGCCAGTCAGGAGACCTGGAGTACATAATGATGACAGGTGCCAGCATACATAGCATCAAAGGAATGACTGTGCTATTAACAGGCTCACAGACCCATTAACAGATAAAGCGGAGAAAAATCTTACATTATATCACCCAAGACACAAAATGATCTAACTACAAAAGATCAGCACAGTTCCATTTGTTCATTTTGGCCATCATTTTCATATATCCACATTTGTCAAAAATAAAAAAAAAAAACACCACAACAAACCGAAACAAAAAAAAAAAAACCCACAAATAAAAGCATTTTCCACACCATCTAAAATGTCCTCTTTTGGTATCATCTGTCTGCTGCTAAAACGTCAGTACCTCAGCATAGATTTATTACACATTATTTTTGCATCAAATGATATAAAATCCAATCACTTGAGAGAATCAGGCTATTTCACAATTAAAATTTAGCATTTATCACCTTTTTTCAACAATCCAATATACACCTTAAGCACCATAATTGAACATTTAGCATTTATCACCTTTTTTCAACAATCCTTAAGCACCATAATTGAATGTACACACAGTGTGGTTAAAGATGGCAATCCCTGTCATTGTCCCTTCCCCACTGTATGCTTTCAGTGTTAAATAAAACACATGGCATAAGGGAATAAAATTCTAACTTTTATAGAAAATCCAAATAATTGTTTAAACAGCTGAAAAATACTGATCTGATGCAGGGAGGCATTTTGTGTGTGTGTGTTCACCGTTATGCGTACTGATCCATACACATGCAGACATTGAGAGCCACTGGAAACCTCCCAGTTTCTAGCAGCAGGGTGTGCAGTTGTATATGCACAAACACATGCTTTGGCAATTTTGCAAAGCAAAAAATGTAAGTTAACAACTGCATGCTAGCAGACTTATTTGAGGATAAAAAAGTTATTCATAAGATTTTAATGGAAGGACTTGATGGCTCTGAGGATTAATAATGGGATACAAAATACCTTTCACCAGTTCACCTCCAGTCCAGGTTGGCAGCTAATGAAAAGGTGCTATCTGACAGCTACTGGTTTGCTCAGGAGAAATCAGTGGGTGATCCTAGTCCAAGTCCTAACAGAGATCCTCTGCACAGACACACTGACATTCTTACAGCTTTGCAGTGCTGAGACCAATGAGACAGAATTAAAAACAGTGAATGGCAATCTCATTGCTGGGGAGGAAAAAACATGATAAAGACACTTCAATAATTGATTTGGAAGTTTGTGCTGATATTCTCCTTACTGGACTTGGATCTTACTACAATGAAGACAAACTTTCAACAGTTTTCCATTAATAAAGAAAATTTCAGTATTTTTCCCCCTGTGCCTCAATAAAGACGATTTGCCCATGATTACCACCTTCCAGCAACACTAGCAAATTTAAAAGGAAAAAAGTGAATTTAACTGACACGATTTAAAAGGAAAAAAGTGAATTTAACTGACATGTGACTCTTATAACCTAGCATGCCAGTTGTCCTGGCTTTCAGTTACACTCTACTCTTCACAAATCATGCAGACTTCAGATTAAAATGGCGGGTTCCTTGCAGTTTTGGAAGCTAGGCAGTTGAGTGTTTAAATATGAATTCAGGAGCTTGATTTTTAAGACCAGTTCTCTGTACAAGTTGACTGCAAGTGGTTTTCTTTTTGGTTGGTTGGTTTCTTCTTCCCTGGAGATCAGGACAATGGATCCGACCTTGCTAATATGATCAGACATACTGCTTAACTGGGCTTTCCTACAAAAGACTTATCATCACCACAACAAACAAAAAAGAGCTAGCTAAGGGCACTGGATGCATTAGTAGAAGACCCTGTATTTATCCTTAAGCTATTAAAAACCTGAGTATAAAACTACTGGTTTTATATCCAACCCATTTTTTTCCTGACTCTGCTGGCAAACTGTGCCAAATTCATGTTGAGGCAGCTGTTGCACTTGAGGCTGCTGGAGGCCCAAGGCCCCTGAGATGCTAGTAAAATTGGAAAAGATTAATGAGCGGCTCTGAATAACCCTCTGGTGGAAACTATGATGACACAGTGGCAACCATTGAGGTGGTTCAACAAATTAGGTGGTCTCTGCAACTTAAACCAACTTTATATTTCGCAAATACTCATCATTCTTCAAAGGGTGCAAGGGTTTAATCAGTGGAGCAGAGACTTCACTCCTCAATATAGCTTTACCATCTTTAACCATCTTGGTAACAATGTGATTGCATAAGGAACTCAATTTGTGTCACAAATGCAGTTGACTGTCATTCCCCACACCTGCTCAATTTTTTTTGGAAAGCATTCACATTTTTTAATAAAAGGAAGTGAATTGTGAACAGATTTCTTAATGGAAGATTGATTAAACTGCAGACACTGAATATAGAAAAAGTTGATTATTTTACATATTTCCGTCTTTCTCTCTAGGACATTTTAAAGTCACAGAGAGACTACGCAAGGATAGTAAAAAGGTATGAACTGAACTTGTGACTTCATTTCATATCTCTTTAAGTTATTACAGACCTGCGTATCCGCTTCA